GGGGGTGTACAGTTCCTCTGTCCAGCATCCCCCCCAGCTCAATGACGACACTGGTTGCCAGAAGCTGGGCAGGAAACCAGCCACAGCATCCCACTCAGCTCCTAGCAACCAGCGACGTGAGTGAGGGTGGGACGCCGGCCAGAGCGTCACAGGTAGCTAAGAGCTCATAGCAATTTGGGACATTCTGGCAAAAAAGTGGGTGTCCCTGGTCAGAAGATTTCACTTCACTTTCTGTCCCTGTGACAATTGGATTTTGAAAATGTTGGGTTGTTGTGGAAACATGGATTGGTGATAAAACTTCAGTGGAGACACCTTTTTCCCATGAACACTCTTACAGGAGTGAATTTCCCTTCCTGGGGGTAGATTTCATCTCACTTCCTGTTGTCTCAAGGACATGAAGTGAGATTAAATCTTTCTAATGAGCATACAGACAGCAGTAAAAACCTCATAATGACCCGGGAGAAGAGGTGGGCACCCCTCGTCTGCACTTCTAACAAGAGCCAACTTCCTGTAATGTACATACAGTACTAAGAACCAGACCCAAAAAGGCGAGCATCCCTCATCGGTGCGAGCGCGGTAGAATTACAACTACTGAAATGTTGTGCGGTACACTTTGGCTGCATCCTGGGACCCCCTGCAGGACAGTAATAGCCTCCATTTGTAAGTAGGAGTCGTATGTAAGTCGGATGTTAGTAACTTGGGGACTGCCTGTGGTTTTAAATGTCAGTCAGTTGAATCATCAATTCATTTATTAAATTCATTCAACCTAAGCTGAAAATGATCTTGGCCGGACAGGACAGTGATATGTGATTCCAGACTGGTCAACCGTCTATGACTCCCTCAGTTTTTGTAATAACCAATTTGGAGAACAGGGATTTTTTATTTTGACTTAACATTAAAATGAAAAAGATTTGTGATCCGAAACAACTACCATGAAGTGAATGTCGATATCAATGTTGTTGCTGTGCTTACAGAGAATGGTACGAACAAGAAAAAAACTCCCAATAAGTGACCATCCTGTGTGTAAAATCACCTTGAGAGAAGTCAAAAGAACAGCCAGGCTTGTTCAAGATGAGACCAGCAAACCACATTACATGAGTCAGAAATTGAAGTGGATTATGTACAAATATCAGGCCATAGTACATCTAGTAGGATCCGTTGAGGATCCTCATTTTAACTCCACAGGTTTCTATAGGGTGATAATCCTCATCCCTTGTGATGTAATTAGTCTAACGAGCAGTATATTTTAATATTTGATGCGTCCTTGTAGAGGTAAGGCTTTGGTTCCTTATGTCAGAGCTGCTGCCATGATGATCGGCAATCTAAAGGCTGGTTGAGAATATTCAAGTAGAAGCAACAGGAGAGGCGGAGGAAGCAAAGATCCATAGACTGGTTGAAGGATGAAGATCCTTGCACTGCAGGCAGTGGTGTATTCTGGTTTGGGGCTACCCTAGGCAAGAGAAAACTAGGGCACCTTCCCCACACTAAATATGCTGGATCTCAGGGGGGCTGTGCAGGATCTGTGGTGGGCTCTGCCATAGACCCCGCAGAGCCCACCACAGATCATGCACACACCCCCGAGACCCTGCAGACCCGTGCAGGATGTGTGGTGGGCTCTGCCCACTATAGACTCCACAGAGCCCACCCGAGACTCTCAGGTGGGCTGTGCAGAATCCATGCTGGGCTCTACAGGGTCCCTTTAGCAGCAGTGTGATCCTCTTACCTTCTGCTTGGCCTCCTCCACCGGTGGACTGGTGCTGCAGGACCCGGCCTGCTCCTAAGCCTGACCACTCTTCGGTGACTCGGCTTTCTACGGCGCGATGGTGCCTTGGCCCCGCCCCTTCCTGATCCCATGTCACCCCGGCCTCGCCTCGCCCCCTCCTGCTGCTCCACCTTGCCCCCTCCTGCTGCCTCCTCCTCGCCGACTCCTCTGTGTCGTTTGACTCCTCCGCCCGGCTGCCTAACCGTTTTGGGGGCGGCATTTTTGCCGCCCCCCTGAAAACTGCCAACCAAGGCGAAGGCCTTGTTTGCCTCGCGGCAGATACGCACCTGACTGCAGGTCCTCAGGTACAGCTTCCTCTCAAGCAAGGAGGACATGGAGAAGGACAATAGTGACTTGGCCAAATCGCAGCAGATCTCACACTGCCAATATGCAGCATCAGACTGCCAAGGCACAAGAAGTACACTGTTATTTATCTGGAGACATTTTTAGATGTTCACGTGTTGACTTTAGGTCCACTTGAACAATGACTTTATTAAATTTTGCTTATTACTATTAGATATTTTTCATGCAGTCAGCAGATGGCGCTCTAGTCTACCTTTCAAATAAGAAATGTATTACTTTCACCTCTGTTGAAATAATCCTGCTGTTTAATAAAGCAGTTACTTATCTCTTTCTACACAGCTTAGTGCAAGATTTCAATTACACAAAGAAAGCACAAAGCAAGCGCCACTTACTGTTCTGTCTTTTATGCCTCTAGAGCTTTTGAAACTGTTGCTGTTAGCTCTACTACTGCTGTTGCTATGCCAGTGGTACAGAGTAATAAAGATAATATCTAACAAATAGGCGTACAGAAAATGGACTTGTATCTTAATACTCAGAATTCTCTCTTATGCATCATAAATCGTGCCGGTGGCTAAATGACCTACCTGACAAGCGCTAAGCCAATTATAGAATGTAAAATAGTGGAAAATAGCCAACAACATAACTGGTTTTGTATGCATATGGACAGCTTTTCAGCACTGGAGAATAGTTGCTAGTAATGGTGTTTATCACTGACCTTCACTTTGAGCCCCTATGGCGTTTTTTCTTTTCTGTGAGATAATTGGAGGGATTGTGTCAGAGAGTCTATTTTTAGGAAGTATCAAAGCTTTTATTGCCTTCAAAGGGCAGCCAGTGAGTTATAGGAAAAGTTATGTCCTCTGTATAATGAAAAATGGGCACTCTGCACCTCTGACCACCTCCTCCCCAATAACCAAGTCCATCCTGGCTCTTTGTTCCTGTGTCCATTCTGTGATGGATTAAAATGGATCGGCGATAATCTGGGGTCCAAATCTCCCCATTGAGTGGAATAAGGGAAATTCTTGCAGAGCCACGGATACACATTAGCACAGTCTCATCAGGTTGCCCTCTCATACATGGTTAGACATGTATAGCAGACAGATGTTGACAGATCTATCTTCATGATTTCAGAAATATGACAGCACTTTACAGCCTGAAGTTACACAAAGAGCCTATGCGCACATTTTTATGCATTGACGCACGTTTTATTAGGGCAGTCCATTCAGTATGAGTCTCGACATATGAAAAAAAAAACAGGCATACACTAATTTTAGCCATTGGAGTGCACCAGAAGGCACAGTGAGGGGAATTTTGTCAATACTGGAGCAGACAAAATCTGTAGCAGCTGTGCATTGCATCCACCTTTCATTTTCAAACCTTAAGTGAACAGTCTGAAGAGAGAAGCTGATTGGTT